TTTCATGATTTTGAATTTGATAGTACGATTTCAAATCATAACCCCGTAAAAAAACCTTCACATCATAATGACGTCATAACAAGTCACTGGAACCGAATACCGACCAATGAAAGGAGAGTTTTAGATTGTCAGCAACTGTCAACCAGCGAGTCATCGGATCACGTGATTATTGGGCGTAACATTTTAGATTTGAAAAGGAATCGAAATAAGTAGAATACGTGTTAGGAATATAAATAGAGATAATGTTTTTAAATCGAAGTACAGTCTAATCTTTGATTTCTTTTTAAAGGTAATTTTAAGTTTATAGTATGATAACAGACGGGTATAAATAGCAAATTTTCGAGGGAAATAAATTCATTAAAAAGAGAGTACAACGACCCTGAGTATGTTGTGTTGTTATATGTGCGCGAGTTCAGGGTTGTTCATCTACCCTTAGGGTTTCGTCCTCTCTCGTTGCACCATCAGCATCGAGGTGTGTTGACCTTGAGTTGAAACGGAATGTCAACCGAACATTTATTCTCCACCTGAGTCAAATTAACGAAACAATTTCGTCGAGTTATAGTTGTTTCATACTTTCCTTCAACTGCTGACGAATTAAATGATCACAAAGAACAGGAAGTTAAATGACATGTGGTGATGACGTGTGACATGTCTCCAGCAATTGCCGTCACCTATGTGACCACAGCTTGTTAGGCATGGCCCATGGGTCACATGGGAATCCTTATATTTGTCAAGATCATGCTTACAATGATCTACAGTATCTATAAAGGGCGGGGACTGAAGAGATACTCATGATTCAGTTAATCAACAGTTAGATTTAATGGATAAACAGGTGGGGGTGTGCCAATTAACTAACTTTCTGTACCTCCCAAATTCTGGGGGTATGTCTAGGATCTTCATTATATGTGATTGATATATCCCTGTCACTCTATTGTTCTCATTTGTGATGCTATTCTATGCCTCCGGTGAATGATAGTTTTGCTTCAGTGAGCGTTTTGTGAGAACTTAAACCTGCATTTTCGAACTGCAATGATTCCGAACCATGTCTTTTGTGAAAAGATAAATAAAGAAGAAAAAAACAGATGATAGATAGAACTGAATGGTTTACTGAACATGTTGCCTTACCTTGATATAATTTCGCTTTTTCTCAGTAAGAATTCATATTAAAATGATTTACTATAATATGTGATTTATATTCGAACGAACAATGAAATTAAGCCATTACTAAGTGTTCTTTCACTCCAAGAACACGTAAACAGGATTCATATTATTAATGTGAAGTCAAATCAAATCAAAGCATTTTTCAAATGTAATTATCACGATATAAATTATATTCTAGATAGGCCTAATGTGTTTAATCATTATACACTACTTAATCATTTACATTTAATAATATATATCAATTAACCGAAACGTTACATTAAAAATGAATTTCAATAATCGAATAACTTAATTTGAGCATTAGCACAGGCAGACATATCTGATTAGTTGGGATAATCATTAGCATGCGGATCGGCATTATAATTGTTCGATTGTCTCTTTTACATTAAAAACAAGATCTGCACCATATATATACTGCTCTACAAGAGACACTTAATTATAAAACAATGGTTGAGAATAGAAATTCGGGTCATTATCTCAGTTAATTACCTACAACGGAAATAAGTCCTAATCGTTCTGGTTTGTTCTTTAACAACTCTTGTTATGAAAACTATTGGCTTCGGGGCTATTGTTATTTCATTAAGCCCTGCCATATCAAATCTCCGGATTATATAACTACCTTAAATGAAGGTAAATTGATGGTCAGCTTGCATCCGATTTCTTTTATCATATACACCTGGCAATAACTGCTTAACCTATTATTAGTCTTTAATGAAACACGAGTTTTGATTTCCAAATATCCATTAGTCGAACTCTATTAGCCACTAAAACTATTTTAAACTTTTTAATGATATTTCAAATAGAAGCATGAAGTAAAAGCTGATTTCTTCTATACTCTAATCATAGAAATTTGTACTTATACTACAGAATGCCTCTATAGAAATTTTTCAAACATTTCCCACTTAAATTGTTAATTAAATTAAAAAAATATTTTTATTTTTCTACAGAATATAATTTTCCTTTTTCTCATTAAATACTAATCTTAAATTATTGCATTTCAAAAGTATTATGATAATAACATATTCATATACTAATAGGTTATATATATATATATATATATATATATATCTTTCATAATTGAATGCCCTTCGAAAGCAACATAAAATACAAATATGCTATGCATTTAAGTTAAAATATAGATTAATTCTTAATAATACAATATTTTAATTTAAATATGGATTTAAAAATAGATTCTTTAATAATATGTTAACATTTCAATAAACTGTGCAATTCATTGCCCTTTTCAAAGGTGATTTATTAACATTAAAACTAAATGAATGATAATTTTTCGTGATTTTTCTAAAAGCTCTCCTTATCGAAATTCTATATTTATATTTTATATAAGGTTGTAAAATTGCAGTTCTTTCTTTCTTAATTTTTTTATAACGAAAAATATTTATTAAAAATNTGAAAAATTTATAATTATGCATTATTTGGTAAATTAAGAACTAAAAAAATATTTATATTAATAATATATATAGACTCATTTAATAATCTGACATTTTAAATATTATCTTCAAAATAAATGAATTTTATATAAAATTTTTAGCATTTACTTATTACTTTTGCAAATCTTAGCCAGAGTATAACATACAAGTTTAAGTTTCTTAAGTTTTTAAGGCTTAGTTGAAAAAAAATTATATATAAATAGGTCTATAAAACATTGATATGCATATAAACCCGCAGCACTAATAATAACAGACATTATTGCATTACATACAGAATATTTATAAATTTTTTATGCCTATTAATTATATATTTAACAATATTCATTATTGCTATTAACTCATAAGAAACTGTTGTCATTAAATGGAAGATATACAGGATCATATCTAATATTAATAATTATTTTAATATTATTTATGTCTTAAATTAAGTTTAATAGATGTTTTCTTATCATAAACAGAACATAAAATTTCATTATAGAAGTGAAATATTTATTTGATAATAAAATTTTTAGTTCTCAAGTCTGATTTGTAAGCACTAATAATTCTATTGATACATTTCAGACAATTTTCATTTGAAAAATGAAAAAAAAAGGTTAATCCTTTAAGACGATATGTTTAATATAACTTAGTGTTGGTGCTGATAATTATCAGAACCAACACTAAAAACATACTAAAATGGACGTAACCATTCTTCAGAGACTTCTTAGCTACCTTTAAAACAATGGCTATGGGCAAAAAGGGCAATTGCCTGAGGTCTGCCCCTAAACCAACTCTTTATAAAAAACATTCCCTAAAAATTTCCCGAATAAAAATGTCTACAGTCAACACTGTACTGTACACGGGGCCCCCTAATTCAAATTTGCCTGGGCGCCCACGAAACTGTAACGCGCCACTGCTATAAAATACTTAAAAAATTATAAAAAACAAAACTGATGTAGTCATGAATAAAATTTCGTTATGCAATGTTCAAACAAACATGCGAATCAGTCTTCAGAACTACCAAGTAAGTACAAGTACGCCAACGACGAGTGTAGACTCTTCAATCGTTTTTAACAATATAAATGATACAGAACGTCCCCTATGATCACATACTTTCTAAATTTCACGTTTATCAAAAAATGCTTCCGTTCAGAAAACTTCCATTACAAAAAAAGAAAAAAGAAATTAAAAAAGGCAATCCTTTAACAGTAAAAACCACATTGCACATCCGTATAATTATCGGAACCAATAGTTGACTAAGAAGGTTCTAAAGAAAGGTCAAGGTGGCTAAGAAGTCTGTAAAGAAAGTTCAAAGTGACTAAGCAATCTCTAAAGGTACGGTCAAGGCCAACTTAGTGTTTTTAGTGTTTTTTTTTTTTTAATTTAATATTGGTTTCGGTAAGTATGTAAATGTGCACTGTGGTTTTTACCTTTAAAGGATTGTCTTTATTCAATTTTTCAATTGAAACCAACCCGGATGGAGACTTTTTTTGGATAAATGTAAAATTTACTAAGACACTGATCACCAGGGGACGTTCCGCACCATTTACAAGTTAAGGACGGTCGAGAAGACTAAAAACATGAAGTTTTTTTTGTCGTTGATATACTTGATGGTTCCAGAAACTGATAACCGGACGTTTGAAGACTCCGTAATGAAAACTACATCTATAACCAAATCATTTTTTGAGAACATTTTTAAATATAGCTAAGAAGTCTCTAAAGAAAGGTCAACACACACTACCTTAGTGTTTTTTAAGCTTGTTTTTAATGTTGGTTTTGGTAATTATGTGAATGTGCAATGTGTATTTTTTTATGTTTTAAAGAATCGTCTTTTTTAATTTTTTTTTAAATTAATAATTTTATTATAAATAAGTTAGAAGAAAAGGAATTTATTTTTCTACTCATTTTAAGAATTTTTTTAAAATAAATTATTTCTAAATTATGGATATTGTTCTTAATAATAATAACACTCAAGAGTAGGGCGAAATGCTGACTCATAGTTCAAAAATTACTTCATTATTCAAGTTGATGTAAAATAATTTATAGATTATTTTTGTTTTAAGGAGATAATTAGAAATAAAATCGGATTAATAAATTCTAAAAAATTATAAGCTTAAGCATAAAATGTATGTATTCACTTATTCTTTTTAAAAATATAAAAAAAAGACATTAATAACAATAAATATGCTACAATCTCCCCCAGGAATAACCAGAATTCGTGCTTCATTAGCAGGCAATGAAAAAAGATTTCTTCGGGACAAAGTCCTTATAAATAATGACTCCTGCAGTCTTTCTAATGAATGAGTTTTAAAAAATTCCCAGCAGGTGTCCATTCCTAAAAGACCTCCAAACGTGATCCACGTGGAACTACCAATAAATTGGCCATGTTTTCATAGATAGATTTGAACTCACCTAACTTCGTTATGTTGATTTGTCCCAATTTCGAATAAATAGCGCCCGTCTTGAATTTGCTGTGCCCAAGGAGGTTTCATCCATATCAATGTATCAAAATGTCCAGCATAGAAGAGTGGAAGCAACCAATTTTCAATACTAACTACACTAAAATAAATAAATAAATCGTTAATTCTTAAAAACCATTTCAAGTATTTAAATCATTTTATTAGTTAAATATTTAGAATCTGAAACATTTATACATTAATAATAGAGAATAATAAGTTTTAATCAGTCATCATTTGATTTATTACCAATGTATAAATGATATAGAAGATTTATTTCCCCTAAGTTTTCCTTTACAAATGTGATATAATTAATTCGAATATAACGAAATTATTAATTACTTACTAATTACGAATAAAATTTGATTAATATAAACCAAATATATTCAGAAGGAAACATAACTAGGAATATTTTTTTTTCATTTATACGGGATAAATTACTCAGATTTAAATTATATATAATTCAGCTTTACTTTATTTGAATATTGTACAATATGTCTCAATAGAACATGAAATGTTCAACTTTTAGTACAATTATATTTATATCCGAATATGTAATATGATATATTTGAGTTAATTTTGTTTCAATCGGTGATTATTTTAAATTAATTAAAACAAAATGTAAAAATTAATCTAGCTACAGCCTAATAAATAGGAATTTTAAAAATATATAACGTTTAAATTAGTGAATTTGTTGTCATTTTATACCAAAACATAAACATATAGATGAAGATAAATCTTTAATTAATATAACAACATTGGAAAAAGGTTCCTGTGAACATAATTTCTATTATCCTACATAGGTTAGATCATTCAAAAAGATTTGAATGAAATTCTGCAGAGGTAAATAGTAGAGTAAAATCGATTTCTGATTATATCATACTGAAGATCACATCGAGACAACTGAATCTTATAAGAATCCTTCGTTAAGATCTACATCTATATTCTATATTCGGCTGATATAATCATAACATCCTTTTTTATTTTGTTTCCACTACACATGCCAAGGTTACTCTATTCATTAACTTCGAAAAACAATGTAAATAACAGATAAAAATATTCTAAACGAATTACGATATTACATACGATCGTAAACAATAAAACTAAATGTTATTAATATTTAATTGCTAGACGAAGGAACTTTATTAACAAAATAAGAAGATGGAATTCGTTAGATTATTTTTCAGATATGTCCCGCTGTCTTAATTTAAAAAGCAGTGACATATATATGCAGTTAAAGAAACTAATTACATTCATAATTTCCATTTTTTTCTTTACGAGCTGATGAAATAATTGAGTTATTAATAGAGATGGCTTGATACATAGTGATCATAGGATTACTATAATTAATATAGTTTTGACATGCAACAGTCTAAACATAATCTTAAATAAAATTGTGAAAAATCTAATCATTGTTCTCAATTATTGAAAACTTTTATTTTAAATACAATTTCTTTAATATTAAATTTTTATGGAGTTGTTTTCTAAAGCTCATCTTATTTATTTCAACGGACATTAACCGCTGATGTAGCCTGAAGGCATTTATTTTTTTGGAAGAAAGAAAAGAAAAAAAAATAATGATACTTTATTAAATTCTTATAATCATGTGAATCAGTTTTTCATCTGTTTTATATTTAGGCTATTCTTCTAAAGGAAGTTTTGATATATATTTAAACATATAATTTTTAATTCTTATCATGTCATAGAATAATAACGTTTCAAAAATTCAAATCTACTATATAAACAGATTAAGAAAGATTTATAACTGTCTGGATAAGAAGCATACTCAAATATTTAAGTTGCTTTAGATAAATTTCTTGAAGCAAAATAAACTTTAAATAAAATAAATAAAAATATATTGTAGTTAGATAACAAAAATTCCGACACTGAAACAAGGAGAATACCCGGATAAGGTCTATGACTCTTTTGCTATACAGGCCTATAGGCTACATTTTATGTTGCTGGTATCAAGAAGGTTGGCGTACTCTTATAATTTGAAAACATCAATTGAAAGATGTCGACGAATGAGCAACGCCGAGTTTTGTATTAATATTGTAACATTGTGTAAATGGAAATAAAAATAGATACATTTGTGATATGTGGAAAGTGCATAAGGCAATTCCAATAAATAACTTGAACATTAATCAGTGATGTCACTTACCTCATCACATAATTTTTATCACGTATCAAACTAGGATCGAATCCTTTGGGTAGCAATAAATCAGGATGTGAATCAAAATGTATAATGGTACCATTTTCAAAAGGTAGTGTCTTAGATCCAAGAGCGCGATAGATGTAATACAATACCTATTTAAAAAAAAAATTGTAATTAAATTTATTATAATTTTATTTAATCATTTAACAAAATATAAAATACATAATGTGACTTTATTTTATTTTATTTTTTTGTTATTTTACAGAGAAATCTGCGTATACTCCGTTGAACAAACAGGGCAAAATAATTGAATATCCTGTAATTAATTATCATAGATACATCAAATGTTTTTAAGGACATTGTTTTCGTTCAAACCAATTATTATTCAATCGAGAAATGAATGTATCGAGCAGCTGCAATTCATTTTGTACAAAGGAGGTAAAACTTTGGTTTGTCAAAGGCAGGTGTGACCTTGTTTGGCCGGAAAGAAGTAATAATTTTGTCATTACCCTATTTAGCATCAACAAAAACCGTTTCTACCGGTAACGAACTGGACGATCAAGTACGGCAAATACGTCACCGTGCGACATCTATCGTCTGATATTTTTAGTCATTTCTATCTAAGATCTTTTAAATATTTTCCAATTTCCAACTTAAAAATTTTATAATCATTAAATAATAAAATGTTTAAACATCTATTTATATCTAAAACACACACATATATATTAACAATAATAAATATATTTTATTGCTCTAAAAGTACACAAATAATTGTCGAAACATGTGAATAAGTAATATCTAATTGATGTTACTGATATTTTCATTTTTTATTAATTTAATTTAAAATATGTATTTAGTGTAAAAGAAAATTTAAAATGTTTAGCGTTTAATCTACATCAAAATAACAGCGACGCCATCTGGCGGAAACATCTCAAATAAGAAAATTTTACATTAATTTAGTTATAAAATTATACTTTAAAAATATCTAAATTATCAAATTATTACATGTATAAATAACATTTATTATAATTTATTCAATTTTAATTAAAGGTTATTCAGTTATATATATATATCAGATAATAATATTTATCAAATATGCTGTAAGTGCAGAGATAGGAGACGGAGAGGTTCGGGGCCACAAACCCTATTGGGACCTTCCAGTGTATTAGTAAATTAGCAAAACTGTGCTAAAAATATTGTATTATACTGTATTTTTTTAAATAATAAAGTTCTTCTCTTAAAATGGAACGAATAATTTACAACAAATTTTTTCAAGAACCGGCATGTGAGACCTAAGCCAAATGATCCTGCTAGCTCCTTTATAGTAGAGCTTGATTAACTATAAATGCTAGGCCTTTTAATGATAAAAAATAAATAATAAAAATGTTTTGAAATGTAGGTTTATTTATATATACGAATATATTCTAATAAAAGCGTAGACCAACATTTAAAATAGAATAAAAGTCTCTATAACAGTCAACGCATCCATTATTTTTTTCTATATAACAATTTATTGATGCACAACAATACTTTTCAACCAATAGATTGTAATTTTCGGGAAATAAGTATTTCAACTTACTATATAACTGGATTGCTGTATATTAGATATCTATGTAATATGTCTCTGTAATCCAACAAATGGTAGACGGACTCGCAGCAAATTTTCAGTTAGGAACTAAAATTTTATTCTCAAAATTAACAAATGCATTTCAGGTTGGCGCAGTACATCCCGACCCCTCCTCAGTGCTAATGTTTAAAAATAATAAAAACAAAAATAGTCAGTTCATGACAACAAATATACCAACAGAAAAAAATTTTTTTCTGTTGCGATTGATTAAAAAAAAGGTGCTAAGGTTTCACTTGGTTTTTTGTAAATTATTGTTCGTAAACTGTTTATATCACTATATATTTTAACAGTAAGTAATGTATGTTGTTTTTATACACCATTATTAATTCTACAAAATAGTCATAAAAAAGTTTTGTTTTTTAGTGATGAGGTTATCCGATGATATTAAACATTTCAAGCGATCTTTGAGCTTGTACGATTCCTCTACGATGTATTGATGTATAACATGTGTTAGTGTTGAATTTTCTAATGGTAGCTGTATTACTATATTATATTAGTAGCCTATATAATGTGTTAGTGTTATAGTTGTGTTGGTGTTCCATGCACAATTTTTTATCTTTAAGAGTAAGTGTGTAAGAAAAAATTTTTTCTGTTGGTATATTTGTTGTCGTGAACTGACTATTTTTATTATTATTTTTAAAAATTAGCACTGAGGAGAAGTTGGGATGTATTGCACCAACCTGAAATGCATTTGTTAATTTTGAGAATAAAATTGTAGTTCCTAACTGAAAATTTGCTGTGAGTCCGTCTACCATTTGTTGGATTACAGAGACGTATTACATAGAGAAGTACAGTATTTCAATTCTTAAGCCAATATTTTAAAAGGTAATCATCAAATTAAAACTTAAAATCTCTACTGTCATTTAAAAAAAACGTACAGTACTCTATTGTAATCTGATTAATTTAAATAAATACACAGTCGAACTTCGAAGCAATAACCACTCTCAATAAAGCCTTTTTTTACGTCAATGACTGTTATTCAGAGGTTTGACTGTATATTGACTGTATATTGACTGTACATTTTAAGAAATATTATTTAAATATAATGAATCAATTCATTAACAAAGTTTTCCTTGCAGGTTTTCCATTCTTTATTTTCAATTAAAAGTCTTTATGATAAACATTTTTTTTTAATTTTATAAATTTTAATAAATTAATAAATGTTACAGAATCTTTATTAATTACATCAACATTTCATTTTTAAATTCAATGTTTTGATAATTATTAATTAAGTTTCAAGACCATACGAATTTAAAGGAAAACACATGTTAAAATGAAACAGCTTCTGACATTGTTCGAAATAAATCTCGAAAAAAATATGAAGTTGCACAAAAGCGTGTATCAGAAACGTATTTTGAAATCATTTAAATTTACCGCCATCAATTCTTTTGTCGCACTGTATTTAATGTCTTCTGAATCTTCAAATCGCTTTTGTTTCGACGTAAATTCTTTGTCAAAAACTTCGTAATTGTGTCTTTATTGCGCATTGTTGCCCGACAAGAACAAGTTTCCTTATTCTGAAAACTAAATCGTTTTTAATAAATTCTTGATCTATCATTTGAAAAGTCAATTGATAATTAGATTTACGCAATAAAAAAAATGGTTTACGAATTGCTAGAGTTCAAACATTCACAGAAATCTTTGTCTTTAAGATCATGGCGAATTCTAACAAAGTTTTCAAAAGTATGTAAACAGAAGAGAACGTCGTTCAAATAACTGTTTTTTCAGTTTCAGTCGAACTTTTGTTCAAATTACAAAGTTTAATGCTTAATTTTGCTTTATTGATACAACGACGACGATTTGCATAATATAAAATCACTGATGTAATTATGTTCATACAATAAACAAAATGTAAATAAACGCGAAAACAGCCCAATTGATCTACTGTCGTGGGTACATTGAATAATGTTTCCAATGTTTTTTTTTTACATGTTTCAACGAATTTAAACTTGAAACTTAATTATCAAATCTTTTAATTAAGCTACAATAAAAATAAATTATTTACAAATTTTTTTACATTGAATGCAATATATTTAGAACATGGCATAATGAATTATTTTGTGCCATTTTTGCCGCAAGAAAAAGCATTATTTTACGCCATTCTCGTGATTAAAATAAATTATAAATTTATTTAAACAGTCAAATGCATTGAACAAAGTAACTCTTCCATACTTAAGATTTCGGTAACAAAGAAATTTTATTACAAAAACGTTCTAAGTGATTAACAGGAAAAAATTAGCACAACTTAATATTTAATTAAGTCATTAATTATTTTTTAAATTAACATCTAATTTTATTGTTTAATAACCTTGAAAAAACTTCTGATGAAACTTTTTCTTTGATGAATAATAGGACTCCTGTACTTCATCCGGGATCAAACAGAAAAAAAATTGATATCCAATGGAATGTCGATTATCAACTACACATTTTTTGTTTGTAGGTTAACAATCTCTGGGCTTTTTACTTTGTAATTACATAGAGTTTGCTTTGAAATGTTTAATGTTATCCTGTAATAAAATGTCATAAAGTAAATTACGCCTTTCAATTAGTTTGATAGTTTAAATATTAAAATTGTCAAATAAATTCGGCACAAATTTTGTTACTTCAATAGTAAATGACAGGAATGACTCGTAAGATATTCCTGTCGCTCTTCTATAAGTGACAAATCAACTTATAAAAATCATCTTTCAGAGTTTTCTTTATTCAAAATTTCTTCAACACTTCATTTTTAAGTTTCTGCTTTGTGGACACTAAGATGGCTTTTTTCATATACCTATTGTAGGTTCAACCTGATCCCGACATATCAGGATAGGTCACCATGAAAAATTTCTGGAGATTTCTACTGCCCAGTTAGATCCTGGATCTCCCAAAACGATAGGTTGACACCCTAACTACCTCGATTATTTGGCTGTCTTCTTCAATGCTTCTAATTCCATTCTCGGAATGCATATATAGAAAGCTAGAAACAAGAATTAAGTTGATCACGAATTAAGTAGCTAAAAAATTGTATCTTATGTATTTAAAAAAACACTCGCTTTCTAACGAACTAATTTTAACTCATTGCATTTAGATAAAAAATGTGTTCATAAAAATGCTTATTTCATTCTTCTTTAACAATGTAGATTAGTCATAAGTTAACTGTCAGTCGCATCTATTCATGTAAAATTTGCACAAAAAGCATATGCATCTAAAATGACACACACTTTAAATATGTAACTTAAAAATCTAATAGCATTATGAACTACAGAAGATATAAAAATAAATAAAAGTAGAAAATTAAATTAGATCTATTGAATCTTAGCATAAGAAGGCTATATGGACAATTCAAATAAGTTCATTAACTTGTTTAAATTGGCTTATGCATCCTCATAAGCATACACCTTTTTAACACAATGTTTAAGTGCGCTAAAAAGGTGCTTATCTTTTTAGCACTTAAACATTGTGTTAGGGGTGTAAAATTGGTTTTTCATTAATCTGTTGCTTTCAATTTTACAGCGATAAAGGTGAAATACAAACTTAGATGAG